TTTTATAGACATTTACCAAGTTTGATGACATTTGGTCGGGTAGTTTTATTTTTATAGCCATTTCAAAATGGAACTTTAATTATAAAGACCCTGTATATATTTCAATGCTTTGAGCTAAAACACATTCTACTACCACTAGAAAAAATTTTTTAGTAAAAGAGAGAAAAGTTGTATTTGTGAGGACTTGAAAATGCTTTCATCTCTACATTATTTTAAACGTAGCAACCACAACGCTTAGTGGCTGCTATTTCTCTAGTATACTCAAAACTATTAGAAAACTGCATCTAGTCAAGAACAAAAAATTAACTATAAATTAAACTTTAAAATAAAAACTGGTAGTTTTTTTATAAAATATATTTTATTATTTTGCGTGTGAGAGATCAGAAAAATCACTATCTGAAAAAAGCTAAAAAGTTTCAGTTTAGAATAAATGAGGATAATTATTTTTTGAATCGGAAAATATTTTGTGATTCGGCGTCGCACTTGCATTTGAGGAACTTCAGATATAAATAACAGTTTCTACTTAATGTTGGAAACAAATAAAAACGAGGAACAAGAAGAAAAAAGAAAAGCATTTTTTTTAATGTTGCATGCGATTTGGAGGCGCTTATTTAAAATCTACAATCAGTTTCTCTCTCAAACCTTCAGTTTTAATAAATTCAAAAATATATTCCTTAACAGAATTTTTTTATTTTATAATGCTAAGTGCCTCCACTTCTCTGCTGCATAGGGAGTGGATGGAAGAAGGCGATAATAAATTTCAATTTATGATGCGATGCATTAATGTAGTATGTTTTTTATCCCAAGTGTTACTTTCAAGGGAGAAGGCAAGTTTTTATGTATGATTATAAACCTATACGCATTGTGCATTCAGACCAAAAATATTGCCACACAGCCAAATGCGCAAAATCGTAAATTTGTCGAATAAAATTGTGTTTAGGTGAATGATTTTTGAAATTGTGTTAGGCGAACATGTATTTTTTTCGCTTGAGAACGAGATATTCACAGTTAAAATTGAATTGGAACGAAATTTTTAGCACAAAATAGTGACGGCGCCAAACAGAAAAAAGCGAGTAAATGCGGAGTTTAAGTTTCTGTGCTTTTTTCCTTCTTTCAATCTATAATCTCTGACTCGGTCTAAAATGTATAAAATACTCTTTTTTTTATTCATCGATGCTTTTTATGTTAATAGCACCGTTGTCTCTCTTTTAAGTATTCTCCAAGAATCGCGTTTCGATATTTGGTTTCAAAGAAATTGGTTATTGCCATTTAAGAAATTTCAAAAGCTGGATAACAATTTGTAACACTATTCTTGTAACACTATATCTAGGTCCCAAACTTTTATTCTATTTTCTTTAACGGTATACTGACTCAAACGGTATTCGACAAAAATTTAGAAACTGTTAGAAAAAGATTGAGGAAACAAAATGTTTAAATTAAGTGCCATACAGACATAAAATGTTTACAAATAACCAAATGTTTACAAATTACCAATGTGTTACAAATTACCAACTGAATTCCTAAAACATGCGTGAAATGAAAGCCTAAAAATTTTACGATACCTAAAAATTTTACGATTATGGTATAGGTCATTTGTTTAACATCTGTATATAAATATTTAAGAAAGAGATGTTATATATCCTTTTGAACAGTTGTTCAAAATGATATATAACATCTCTTTCTTATAGGAAGAAGGGGAAGGGAAGCGTTAAAATTTTATTATGGTATAAATTTAGTCGACCACATTTATGTAGGTCCCGTTTTAAAATTTATTGTTGCTCTTTTATAAAATACTTAGGGTTAAGCCTCCTGTTCGCTGCGCTCATCAACCCCAATGATTGCTTTGAAACAATTGTCGTTTCTAAGCATACAACAGTTTTTTCTACAAAAGTTGAAATTATTCACTTAACACGTGAAATTTTATGCATGTAAACGGCTTTGTACAGTCGATTTTTATTTTTAAACATAATGTTTTAAAATTGTAACGTTTGTAAAATTTTCATTTTACTGATTTATTCAAATTTTATGTCCTTTAGGACAGGCTAGTACTAATGTGTACTTTTATCTTGTGTGTAATTCTTAACTTTTTCCTTTTACCCAGCAACTAGCTCTAGCTCTCAATTCGATCCTATTGATACCTTTATTCAACTGTAGTATCTAGTAAGTAAAAATGAGTTCGTGATGTTACAAACATTTCGTTAGTATAAGGGTCTGTTGGCCTGAACGGTACAACACCAAGCACGATCAATATTGTTTTAATTTGTTTTTATGTTAAATTGTTGAACGATATGTTANAAAAATAAATATTATAGGTAAATATTCTTTTTTGGAAATAAAATATTTTAAAGGAAAATAATGCCTTTATGACTTTGATTTTATGCCAACTTATTAAAACTTTTGTAGAAAACGGAGGAGTTGGCATCCATGTACTAAACTGCATGCCTAGCCACGTCATTATCTTATCTCTTTGAATCATGCCATATCCAATGAATCAGTGAAATCTCAACAGGGAGTATCCAGATCAACTCTAAGTTGGTCTAAAATATCCATTACTCTATAAAATAAAATAATTTTTTAAGTGAATCCATTTAATTACCACTGGGTAAATTGTATCACAGATGTATGAGAAATTCTTAGCTGTTACAATTTAAAAATATTTCTTAATTGATAGCGAAATTAAGAAAAATATGGATAAGTTATTTGCAACTGACAAATAAGTTTTCGATTTAGAGAAAATATACAGGAGACGAAAATACTTAGAGAATAATGTGTAATCTTAAACATACCTCCGGTAGCAAAACCCGTCCAATACGGCAGAGGGCGCTGCGGATTACGTCAGCATCTGCAGATTATTTTTCATAAGTTATCCTTCTATTTTTAAGAAGCAAATAGGGAAAAATTTGCTGGGGCTCCTTTTTTTCTTTCTTCCTAAATAAAAAGCGGAATTCCGGGAAAACGCAAAAATAATAGATTTTTTCCCCTACTACTTCATTACAGGGTTAACTGTAAAAAGATTTATTCAATTACTTAATATCCTTGTATAAATTCAATTTCAACTCAAACAACATAAGTTTTTATGCTCAATTTTTAAGGACATTATATTTTCAAGATTTGTTACATGTATAGAAGTTAAGATGAATTTTTACAATAATAATCTCTACCCCACTACTTTGATGTCGTAGATAACTTTGGATTTGTGAAGTATAGATAGTACTGCAAATATACTTCATAAATTCTGCTACCCGGAGCATACTACGAAATTTCCGTACTTTCGGAAAGTAATTTTTCTAGTGGAAACTAAGATGATGCATTGATTACTTAATAAAATTAAATTAAAAAAAATATGTTCACCTCTACATTTAAATAAAATCAATATTATGTAAAAAGCCAGATTGATATCTGATTATGCGCGCAAGCCCTCGGGGTCTGATCAGGGGTAAGCTAATTACCAGGGCCACATATACTCACATTTCTTTGACTCGCCCCCCTTTTGAATGTATTTCCGAACTGTAAATATTCATTATTGCCTAGTAATGGCAAGTGCCATTTTTCTTCTCTCAAGAACTCCATTTTGCTCCCCAAACTTTGATTTTGTCATGTATGTTTCTTAGTTTAATTTCAGGATGAATGGGAAAAGGGCCGTAAGGCCTCAGACGCCCAGTTCCACTACAACGAACGAACGAACTAATCATGCGCATTAAGTTTTAAGTTAAACATAGATTTTACTTATTCTGTAATATTCTGACTTAGTTCGCCTGCAATTGGTAGTGGGAGCCGAATTTAAACAATTTTATTAGCTTAAGAAAACTAACCTACTAATTTTAATTGGTAATAATAATTTAGAACATTGTGATCCTGTAATACATGATTCTAATTTTATTTTAGCCTAACTTAAGTACATTATTACTAAATTGTTTAAAATTAAAAACAATAGAAAAAAGAGAGTCACTACTACTGGAAAAAATAATTCTCACGCACCTCAAATTGTTGGTAGGCTTGCAGTTGGAAGCTGAATTTATACATTTTTACTAGCTTGAGAAAACTGACCTATTAATTTTTGATAGAAAAACATTTTAGATTGTAGCAATCATGTTATATATTATTCCAGTTTTACTTAGAGTTACACAAGCACATTGTTACTAAATTGTTTAAAATGAGGAGCACTTCTACTGAAATCATTGATCATTTATCTATTTCGTACGCACCTTAAATTGTTGGAGGGTAAGCAGTTGAGGCTGGATTTAAGCATTTTTACTAGCTTGAGAAAACTAACCGATTAATTTAAGTTGGAAAAAGTAAAATTCTAAGTAAAACTGGAATCATGTATAGCATGATTGCTACGATCTAAAATGTTACATAAGCTCATTGTTACTATATTTTTTTAAAATTAGACCCACTAACGACTGGAAAAAATATTTCGCAAGCACCTTAAATTGTTGGAGGGTATGCAGCTGGAAGCTGAATTTAAACATTTCTATTAGTTTGAGAAACTATTAATTTTTTTAGAAAAAATGTTTTAGTTTGTAGCAATCCTGCATTATACGATTCCAATTTATTTCAGAGTTACATAAGTGAATTGTTACGATATTGTTTAAAATTAGACCCACTAACGACTGGAAAAAATATTTCGCATGCACCTCAAATTGTTGGAGGGTATGCAGTTGGAAGCTGAATTTAAACATTTTTATTAGCTTGAGAAAACGAACCTATTAATTTTTGTTGGAAAAAATATTTTAAATCGTAGCTTTCCTGCAATAAATGATTCCATTTTTAATTTAGAGAGAATAAGCACATTGTTACGATATTATTTAAAATTAGAACAAATGCGGAAGCGATTCCGGGACAAAATTGGAATGTCTTTCTCAGTTTTTTAATTGTGTCTCACCAAGAAAAGGGGGAAAATCAAAACTAATTTTTTGTGCCATCACTTGACGGGAGAATCATCACTTTGGTGATGACAAAATGCCATCTTGAAGCGATAGTGCTGGGGTGGGCCACTGCCCGGCTGGGGGTCACAGAAGCCTGTCTCGCATTTCACTCTGCGTCCTAAAGCGTGGGCGAAAAAACGGATGCCCGTACATAAGATCTGAAGTTCTTCTTTTCTGTGTGAAGAAGAGAGCATCTCTGAAGCATCCTTTATCCTCAGCTGACGGATTATCATCTTTCTTAAGATAAAGTTCCCATATACGGTTATCTTTTATGAAGTGCTAGTGTTTTGGTGTTTTCTCTAGAATGAGGGCCCTTCTGGGTGCTCTGTGGGCCCTGGTTGTTGTCGCTGTAGTAGTACACGCACAGGACTATAATGAAAGTGAGAATTTATTTATTTCTAATCCTAATCATTGCACTCTTTTGCTTTAAAATTGCTTTATAGCCAGGGTCTTATTATAGCACGGGGCCTACTAGGGCATAGGCCCAGGTCATAATGTTTGAAGTGGCACAAATTTTCTGTTATTAATATTTATTAATGTTCCGCAAATTGCTTTTGTGTTTTAAATGCATTTTGTGCAAATTGCTTTGGTGCTATAGTGCTTTTTATGAATTAAAAAAATTTTTTTGACAGTCTTTCTCTACTATTTAATCAATATTTGATGTGCATAGATGCATGCTTTGACATGCTTCGTAAAGCGTCTTAAGTTTGATTTATCATGAATTACTATAATGTACAGAAATCTTTTCATTCTCATGCTTTGCTGTATTTATATGAATTGGAATTCGACGTTTTACACTATTTTTTTTTTAAATGTTATTAGCATTCTTGACAAATTCATAATTTCGAATTTCTTCATTGCAAAAAACGTTTCTTTCTTTACTTATTTTTCACCATAAAATTTATACAGAGGGCTTGCTGACATTTTGGATTTTTTTTAAAAAGTTAGATTTTTTTAATTGCGACTTTTCAAAAACTTATTTAAAAATGGCATCGTACTTCATTCCCTAGTTTACCACAGTCAAATCCTGCGTATAACCTATAAAACGTTTTTTTTTTTTTTTTAGAAATTATCCTTGAAAAAATATTATTATCATTTTACTTACAAAAGGTGAGATAGTCCAATTTGCTCCAATGTTCAGGTTTCTAGCGAAGTATTTTTCTCAGTGGTATTTAATTAAATGAGACATTTTCAAAATAAATAGAATTTTTCTCACAATTTACAGCACAATAAGCATTACTTTTTGATTATTTGAATTATTGTACTTATGTTCAAACAATTCTGAGTAGTGCGGGTTGATTTTGTTTTACTTTCACTTTATTATACCTAGAATAGACTTTAATACATAACCTTTGTTAACATTGGCAAAATTTGGTGGTAGTTTTTACGGAGATTCTGTTGTTGTAGAGTAATTCATTGGGTTATAATTAATTGGTATTCATACATATACGGGCTTGTGTGCTCAGCTACATAAGTATTGCTTATAAGAATTTGTCAAGTAGAAGAGCAGATAATACTAGTACAATTCAACGAGAGACAGCATTATTACATGATTATTGAATATGATGATGACTAATCATGATCATAATTTGAATTTTTAAAAGTAAAATAAAATATAAAACCAGAAATCAACGCAATTATAATTTGTTCTTTTTTTATAATTTAAATTACTCTTTTGTTGTAGTTTATAATTGTTTTATCCTAAATCTTTCTCTTTCTAAATTTTGTTGCAAAATTTAAAAAGTTTTAGACACAATTCATGAAAGTATTTGAAACGACTCTGTAGATCTGAACAAATTATTAAATATGTGTATATCTAACTTTTTAAAGTTTTTTTTTTCTTCTTCCAAAACTTATATTAGAATTGAAGTTTTCAAATAAGTAACGAGTGGTCTGCTTTGTAAATCTAGAATTTATTCTCATTAAGTTTCAAAATTAGTTACAAATTCGGTTAAACAGATTGCGTAGGATGCAGGAAACCTTCCTTCGTTTTTCCTTCATTCATTTTTTAAATGGTCGGTTATTATTATTGGGTCAATTGGTAAAGATTCTTAATTAAAATAACTTCATAAGCGCGATCTTTTATCAAATATGTAAAGCTTCAAAATAAATATCTAACATGAGATCAATTTTAATTGTAGTACATTATATTTATGATCTACTTTTCACCTTTTACTTTTTTTAGAGCCTAAATATAGCACTTCGTTCTAGCTGGTCAGTTCGCAGCTTTAATGAGTAGAAGCCCCATCTACAAAAAATTACAATGCGAAATTTTTTTTCTCCTTTTCTGTTGCATGAGATTTTTGACGGATCTTAGGTATTTTCGCATTTTTTAAGAGATGCTAATGTCTAAGGTATCTTGTATCATTTGGTGAGAATGCGTTGCAATGTTTTTCAGTGTTTAGGTTTCATTGGAGCAGTTTTGTTTCATATTTAAAGTAGTACTAAAAGAACAATAAAATTTAGTGTTTTTTTTTTAAATTTAGCTAGCACTTAAAATATTACAGGATGATTATCAAATTTTAACACGTTCACCCCGGGTGTTGTGCCTGAAAGCGGGACGGAAAAGAAAAAATACTGGTAGAAGAACTATTTCAATATTGGTATAAAACAATTGGTAGTTATGGATTTTTATTATTCCCGGAAAAAAACTAAAAAATGAAATTTATTTGTTACCAGTTTTTACTCCGGTGCTCCGCCCGATGAGACAATCTAGCGGGACCCACCGGTGGGTCACCCCGGCATGAACGTGTTAACGCATGTTTAAATACTTTGTGTTAAAATACATTTTGCTACCTCTAGAAATTAGTTAATTCAAAAAAAGAAGAAAAAAAGCGATTAGGTTTATATCAGTGAGCTAATATCTTTTTTGCACTTAGCGATCACGTTGCTCAATGACCGCTTAATTTTAAAAACATAGAAGAGCAATTTTATAGATTCATATTGCTAATAAATTCTAGATTGAATTGATTATAAATTAAAATTTAAAATCAGAAGTGGTAGTTACAGTACAACAATAAATTCTAATGTTATACACATGAATGAACAAAAAAATAAGTTTTTTTTTTTTCAATTGCTATCTTAATAATGCGCAAAAAGCTTTTTTTGTTCTTGTTTTTGAGATAAGTATTAATGACCTCGAATTTTTTTAAAAATTTACTCGAGTGAATAACAAAGTGCCCCTACTTCTCTGTTACATAGTGAATGGAAGAAGGTGATGCTATATTTCAATTTATGATGCGATATTGTTTTATGTCTTCAGTGTTATTTTCAAAGGAGCACATAATTGTATGAGTATATATGTTACCAGCAAAGTATGAAATCCGGCATTGTAAAGAATGCCTAAAATTAGCCGGCAAAGTATGAAATGATTTATATTTCAAAATGAGAAATCGGAATATAAAATACATCTCCGATTCGTCAAAATGTCATTCAAAAATGACAAATTCAAAACGTCATCCGATTTTATATTAATTTATTCGTCGATATAATTACATTTATTCGATATTTTAATACTTACTGACGATAGATTACATTTATTCAATATTTTAATACTCACTGATGATAGATTAGAAGAAACATCAGTGTTTGGAGTATCGGGCAAATGTATACCGGGCAGTGGCACTGAACCTTAAAAAATCATCAGTGTAGGGTATACCGGGCAATGGCACTTGACCTTAAAAAAACATCAGTGTGGGGTATACCGGGCAATGGCACTTGTCCTTAAAAAAAACATCAGTGTAGGGTATACCGGGCAGTGGCACGAGACCTAGTATATATTTCGGACATATTACCAAAGGTCTTGTCATACTAGGTCTAGTTAAGTGCCATTGCCCGGTATATCCTACGCGGATGTTTTTTTAAGGTCAAGTGCCACTGCCCGGTATACCCTACACTGATACTTTTTTAAGGTCAAGTGCCATTGCCCGGTATACATTTTCTCGGTATACCCTACACTGATGTTTTTTTAAGGTCAAGTGCCACTGCCCAATATACCCTACACTGATGTTTTTTTAAAGTCAAGTGCCATTGCCCGGTATACATTTGCCCGATACTCCAAACACTGATGTTTGTTCTAATCTATCGTCAGTAAGTCTTAAAATATCGAATAAATGTAATTATATCCACGAATAAATTATTATCAAATCGGATGTAATAAATATTTCGGGCATTCACCAAAGCAACTATGTGATTGTCAACATTCACCGGTGAAAGTCAACAACCACCGATTTCGGTCATTCACAGTAACATGCACATCATTTACATAATAACCTCATCAGGACGTTTATTTCATACTTTGCCTACCATTTGGCATTCTATAGAACGCCTAGGCATTTTATACAATGCCTAGGGAAAGTATGTAATACTTCTCACATTTCTTACTTTGCCTAAAAACATCATTCTATACATTGCCTAGGCATTCTATATAATGCCGGCGTTTCATAATTTACCGGTAACATATATATAAATCTAAGTGTTCTTTATAAACTTGTACATTCAGTCATAAAAAAATTTAACTAAAAATAACATTTTTATAAAAAATCTGTAGTTTTCGGAACTGATTTGATATTCTCACCCCGCATTAGGCAAGATCAAATATGGGTAGATATCAGGCTTGCCGCGTGCGAGTAAAAATGCAAAAAGTGGTAATTAATAAAATTATACATTTTATTAGAAGATAATATCAGAGATGCCAATTTGCTCCGCTTTGTGAAATAGTATTTTTTAGCGGTAGCGAAATTTAAGTTATTTTTAGTTTAGTATCTTTCATTTTAAGTAATTTTTCACAACTAAATATCAAAAATTATTAATATCATATAAAATAAAATGATGAAGCAATATTTTACTGGTTACTCTTTCAAAAAGCAAACGTAACTATACTTCTTGGACGAATTTTACTATATAATTCCTTACCAATTTATTAAAACTATTTCACAAAGCGGAGCAGTTGGCATCTCTGGAATATAAATAGCAGCTTACTGCAGCATATTTTTTAAGTTACTATAAAACGATAAGATGGACTTGACTTGATATGTAGTGTAAAAGAGCGGTTACTGTGATAATTTATTCATGTTGATCTGCAAAAATTCTCCTTCATTTTTTTCCTTCTATTTTTGCTGTTTTTTAATGAACTTTGTAAAAACGTCGCAAGCAGTGGTCACTTTATAAAGAAATATGAGTTATTTTTTTCTTCTTCTATCATTTCTTACATCATATTATTATTTTTCTTAACCTAAATACCATGTCCCATAAAATTCCAAACTAAATAAAGAAAAGTAGTATAATATACAATGTTCTTTTTAAGTAACTTTAAAATTTTATTTCTAAAATACCCCGAACTTCTAAAAAAATAAGATTTTAAATATTATTTTAAATATTT